TCAAAACTAAATCAAAAGTCAATAGTCAAAAATCAAAACTAGTTTCGACTTATGGCGAAACCTTTTGACTTTCGCACAGTTGCGAAACTCTCGAATTTTGGAAACCAACACTAATTCCAAACTGCATTTTTTGGTCGTCCACCAAGTTTTTTGAAACTTGATGAACTATTTATACCTACATCAGTATTGTTTGACATTATTGTGATTAAAAAAAAATTTATATATATTCTTAAGAAAGAGAAAAAATTAAATTAAAACAAATAGGAAATTTTTAATTAATTGTCAGGACAATAATATCAAAATAAAATGAACTTTTGATAAAATGTTGGTCGCTTGAAGAGAAAAATGATTTCGATAATCATGGCTACACGTCATATGGTCATAAAATTAGTTTAGGAGTTTCGGGTTAGTTTCGAAAGTAGTTAAACCAGAAAAGAGGTTAATTCCTTATATATATATTGTACATGAGAAATAAAATTATAAAACATACGTGATAATGTATTTTTATTATTATTATAAATTACCTTTTATGTACTATATATATATTTAAGATTGACAACAAAGATAACAGTATTTTATATTTGAATAAAATTATAATTTTGAATATTCAAGTTATATTAATGATGGCACATGTGTTATAAGTGAAATTAAACCCGAATTCAAATGTAAATTCTAAACTTCCAATCTTGACCAGTTCTATTTAAGTAACATTTTTACCTGTGGCGTATCAGGAAGTTTGCACATAAAAGACATCTGTGTAGGTGGTGTGAATTGACCACTTCGATATTTAAAGTTCTTTGCAATCCTTTCAAAATGTTCCTGCCATTTGCAAAGAGTGAAATTTGTGAACAAAAATGTATCATTATAAGCTTAAAGAAAATGCGTCATATACCTCCAAAGCAACAAAATGGCTGATTGCGAATTCTGCTAATGGAATTGCAGTCTTGTCAACTACCAGTTTGATTCTGAGGAATGAACAGGAGCGGTATAAACCATCATATTTTAGATCCGTAAAGAATGATTCCTGATTATTGTAGAAACATAATTCATAAGAAATAATAATAACACTTGTAATTTATCAAAAGCATATACATATTAATGTTTAAAAATATGGCACTTTCATCCGGATCTCCCTTTCTTTCCAATTGTTGATTAATTGATTTTTGGGCTTTTAACTGAGCTTTCAACCCAGGGTTGGCAAATTAACTGGTCCATTGAGAACAGATAATTTTGGACTGGTCCCATTGCCATTAATAAAATACTAAATATGATTAAATGGACCCAATGGACAACCAATAGACCATCAATGGACTGCACATTTACAACCCTGTTTCAACCTATCCTTCTTTTCTTGTAATGGTGTGAAACCCAATGGCTTAAATTCTGAATTTAAGATTGCCACAACATGAAAGGTCAGGTGTTGTTTTTAATCCTGCGGTGGCACAATTTAATCTAAGTTCATATTCTTTTTCTGATCTATGAAATGAACGAGTATTTGGATAAATGAACATGTCACAATGTTCCTACTCAGATAACTTTAATGGGGAAACTTCCATGAAAACGTCTCCGCCAATCAAATGTCTACTAGCAGTATCACGAAAGATGATGAAATCTCTATATAGCATAAGTGGTGGTTTATTTATATTATAGGGATTAGTTATTATTATTATCTCTTTCCATTCTTGATTATAGTGATGTTAGCCGGCTAATAATCTGCATACATAATTTCTAAATTTGGTAATAGATTTCCGTATTACCTTCTGGTTATAGAAATATAATTACCAATTTAGGTAGTAAACGGCTTAGCCGGCTAAGGATTTTTAAACGGCTAACATCACTAAAAAAACATCTAATAAAAATAAAATAAAAATAAATTGTTTAGCTTAGAATTTCTAAATTTCAATATCTTGCTATACTATATATTGTTTAAGAGTATTATTTTGTTGCTGTAAAAGGTTTGGCATAATTCTTCTTTAGGACTTTTAACCTTACAAGTAAAACTTATCGATTTCAATTTTCTTAGCAATGATATATAGTAAATTTGATTGCAACTGATTTTTTTGGTATTACTATCATTTCTAAATTCAATACTTTCTAATTTACTGCAATTGTTAAATATTTCTATTAACTCCTTGGTCTACTCCATTTCTATAATATATTGATAATTTTGATGATATTGTGCATTGCATCCCCAAAGATACTGGAGTAATTGTTTTTCCATTGGGCTTGATAAATTTATTAAAGATTTTAATTGAATCAAATTGGGCTGCAATACTGTTGAAACCTTATACAACTGCTCCAGCTAAGGTGTCCAAAAGGTAGAGTAGTATTTATTTAAGATGCTTTTCAGCAATGATTCAGAAATGATTTATTGACTAAGGATCAGTTTATTAATTGTAAAAGTGTTATGTGTCTTTATTAGCGATAATAATTTAGGTATAAGGTTATTATTATATTATTGTTATTGTATCATGAACATGATGATTCTCACTTGGTCTAAAACCAAGCCTTTTTATACCTCTTGAGGTATTACAAATAACATGACCTTTACAATATTTTGTCCAATA